AAGCTGCTTCCACCTCCTCCTCCAAGGCCAAAACCACTTCCACCTCCTCCTCCGAGGCCAAACCCGCTTCCACCTCCTCCTCCAAGGCCAAACCCGCTTCCACCTCCTCCTCCGAGGCCGAAACCGCTCCCGCCGCCCCCGCTCAGGCTCAGTCCACCAAATCCTCCTCCCAGGCCGGCCCCGCCGGCCAGGCTGGAGCTGGAGCTGATCACAGCTGCAAGGAGAGGAAACCAGAGGGTTGGACACCTGCTGGCAGCCACGGAATCATGGGATGGTTGGGTTGGAAGGGACCTTAAAGCTCATCCCATCCCACCTCTGCCCTGGGCAGGGACACCTCCCACTATCCCAGGTTGCTCCAACCCATCCCTGGACACTCCCAGGGATGGAGCAGCCACAGCTTCCCCGGGCAATCCCTCATTTCCAGGAAGGACCTTCACCCACAGGACCTGCCCCCAACTCCCACGCCCTGTGCGAGCCCCTGCTGAGGGTGGGGGGCTCCGAATGTCTGATTTGGGGCAACCCCTCCCCTTTTCCCAAGGTCCCTCCCAGCCCCTCCTCCCGAAGCAGGGCGGTGGGACGGAGCCCCGGGACACTCACAGTAGCTGATGGGGTTCAGTCCCTCCCCGCTGAGCCTGTTGGGGGGCAGATGAGGAGCAGATCAGAGCCCAGTTTAGGACACGGGCAGAGGAACCAACCTCTGACCGGGGCAAACCGAGAGCTGCCGGATTCCCGACGGGATTCTGCCCCCACCTGGGCTGTAGGATTTGGGCTCTGGGCTGTAGGGTTTGGGCTCTGGGCTGTAGGGTTTGGGCTCTGGGCCGTTGGGCTCTGGTGTTCTGCCCCCACCGGCTCTCCTCCCCCTCCAGCAGCTTCCTGTAGGTCGCGATCTCGATGTCCAGGGCCAGCTTGACGTTCATGAGCTCCTGGTACTCGCGGAGCTGCCGGGCCAGGTCCTGCTTGGCCTGTTGCAGGGCCCCCTCGAGCCCCCCCAGCTTGGCCCGGGCGTCCTTCAGCGCCAGCTCCCCGCGCTCCTCCGCCTCGGCCACGGCCGCCTCCAGCCCCGAGCGC